AACTGTTTTCCAAGCACTCCTATCTAAGGCTAAGTCTTTGGGTATATTCCATCCTTTCAAGTCTCCTTTTATTGCCTCTACCCAAGTTAACTTCGGTCTTCCTCTGCCTCTCTTCACGTTACTATCCTGGCTTAGGATTCCACTACGCACCGGTGCCTCTGGAGGTCTCCGTTGGACATGTCCAAACCAATAGGAATTTGAACGTATCTAAAATAATCTGTGACTTTTCTATTGGTTATTCAAAAAATTATATAACTTGTTCAGGTTAGTGGAATGCCTACATTTGCCCTTCCTGTTCACGATGGTGGGGTAGGTTTTGACTATCGTATGCATATGGCTGTGGCTGACAAATGGATTGAACTTCTCAAGTAAGTATTTCATATGTCTGTGGATGATCATTATTTTCTTGTATTGGCCTGCATTTCGAAATAATTCTCTTTTTTTGGCATAAAACATTCAAGTACATACACTAATGTTTAATTGCATGGGCCATGTGCATATGCATTTTTTGTTGTATTTGTCATCACTTTTGTGGTTTAATCTACATAATCATCAAAATAATAGGTTTTCACATGAGATATTTTTTATGCACATTTGCATGTGGCTGCATACATGATTAACACCACCAAATATACCTTGAGATTGATGTATATTTTCAAATTTGAAACCAATGAACCCATCTGATACTTATTGTAATATTGCTGCACAAATCTTGAAGTTTTTTATGCATAGGAATAGGATATTGCACATACCAACATATATCGGCGGTGCATATATATTTTGTATAACTAACATTACACTATTCACTATGTTCATATGTTTTGTGTTTAATTTTCTATACAAAAAAGTCTCCCCTTGAATCTGAAGCTTTTGTTTCGAAACGGGGAAGCTCTATCTGTAATATACCTTGTGTGTTCACTTTGAGTTATGTGGTGAGTTTCAACTTTCTCTTTAACCGCACAGGCAAAGTGATGAAGCTTGGAAGATGGGTGATATTGTGCACACACTAACAAATAGAAGGTGGTTGGAGAAGTGTGTAACTTATGCTGAAAGTCATGATCAAGCATTAGTCGGCGACAAGACTATTGCATTTTGGTTGATGGACAAGGTTACCACTCATTAATTTTCTTGGTGTACTTTACATATTTTTTCTACAATAATTAATTCTATTTATTTTCTTCAAGTTCATGATGTATTCATGGTTCCCATAAAACAAATGATATTTAAAAGCAAAGAGTTAGAACTTTGTTAGTTTTCTTTAATTTGGACTTGTGTGCCCTGTTTTTCTGTCATGACTCATGAGCATTATAGTTGCAATTTCATTTCTTTGACAATTCTGAGTGAACTATGATTTATTGTTTTAATACTTCATTGAGTTTGTAGAACATATCGGCTCTTCCTCATCCTATACTTTCAGAAAATTATATTTGGTCTTTTCCTTCCACTATTCTATGAAAAATACATGTAGAAACACAGAACAATACTAGAGGGTGACATGAGAACCTCACTGGTTCTATTTATGCAGGATATGTATGATTTCATGGCCCTTGATAGACCTGCAACTCCTACCATTGATCGTGGGATAGCATTACATAAGATGATTAGACTTATCACAATGGGTTTAGGAGGAGAGGGCTATCTTAATTTCATGGGAAATGAGTTTGGACATCCTGGTGAGATTTAACTATTTTGTTTCATTTAACATTCTTTGAGTCTTGTAGAACAGTACCTCACCTAACAATTATCTTGCAATTTATCTTTTGTTAGTTATATTGGTGTTGAGGACTTGAGGTCATTGTTCTACTTTCTATTTTGCAGAATGGATAGATTTTCCAAGAGGTCCGCAAAGACTTCCAAGTGGTAAGTTCATTCCAGGGAATAATAACAGTTATGACAAATGCCGTCGAAGATTTGACCTGGTAAACTTTCTTTGAGCTATTGTGCTTGTGCATCAGTAAAGTCCAGTTGTATTTACTTTTACCACTTATCGAGTGCTTTAATTAGCAAGGTGCCATTATAATAGTTCCTTCTTTATTCATATTAGTGTGTTTTCAAAAGTAAAAATATTACTGCCTTTGCAAAATTTTGCTCTAATTTCTGTTGTTATGTTTGGTCAATAATTGATCATTATCGGAATTGTGTTATTTTTACATTGTCAGGGTGATGCAGACTATCTTAGGTATCATGGTATGCAAGAATTTGATCAGGCAATGCAACATCTTGAGCAAAAATATGGAGTATGTTCTGTAATTATTTTTTGATTTGGTTCTGCAAGTTTGAGTTATTGTTTCTACTAACATCATACTTGGTGGGCATTCTACTTGGAATGTCATTTCTAAAAACCATTTCTCTATTTTACTGAGCTTTTAAGCTAGGAAAATTTTATTATGAATTCTTTGATGTTGCATCAGCAATTCTATTTCATGGTGCTTGATTTTAGCTGTCCTTTTGTCGCAATAATCTATGCTCTAGCTGAGTTGGTTAGGTGGCTTAAGTTCGACCCCTGTGGGAGCAAATTTTAGGCTGGGGTTAAAAAAATCCCCTCGTGTGTCCCACGCCAATGCGCAGGTCTAAGGACCGACCCAGGTTCTCACATGGGTAACGGTGCCGCTGTGTATGGTTGTGGCAGGGGTTTAGGGATTTCTCGACCTATGTGAGATGGTTGCCTTCTATCTTAAACAGAATGCCTGGGGGTTGTCTTACACCTCATAGGTCAAGTTTATAAACTTGGGCAAATCTTAGGTATTTCCATGATCATTAGTAGTACTCTGGACTCTTGATACAACACGGCATAACAGTAGCGAAAAATTTTCTGATGAAACTTGCTGTATGATTGCAGTTCATGACGTCCGATCACCAGTATATTTCTCGGAAACATGAGGAGGATAAGGTGATAGTGTTCGAAAAGGGAGATTTGGTATTTGTGTTCAACTTCCACTGCAACAACAGCTATTTTGACTACCGTATTGGTTGTCGAAAACCTGGGATGTATAAGGTATGCATCTGTCGTGCATTCCCTATGCTCAAAGTGCATATCTTTTCTTGCTAAATGAGTTTGCTATACGTAGTATCATGCTGCAATTTATCAAGTCTCATTATTGATCTCTTTCTATGATAAAGCTAGGAGCAACTAAGCTGTTGGTGTCACTGTCAGCAATTCATGTTGTAGTTAATTTAATTTGCTTGAAAAAGTAGGACACTAGATTTGGATTTTTCCATTTTGTTATGCCATACGAGCAGGTAAAAGGTAGCAAAATACTAGTGTCATACTTATATATAAAAAAAACAAAAATATGAACTAGGCGGTACTGTTATGGATGGGGATGGCCGCATGCTCGTTCTCTTGGTGCCTCTGATCCAGCACATCCGTTGTTCCAAAACTAGCTGGAGAAGTTTCTCAAAATCCACTTACTGAGGTGCTGACAGCATCTGCTATTTGTACCAGGTGGTCTTGGACTCGGACGCTGGACTATTTGGTGGGTTTGGCAGGATCCATCACGAGGCAGAGCACTTCACCACCGTAAGTTTTGTGGCGCATGATATTGCTTTCGGTACGCAGATGTCAACTTGTTTCTGACAGAAGATGTGAGCTAACTTCTGTTACAATATTGGCCATTATCTTCAGGACTGTTCTCATGATAACAGGCCCCATTCCTTCTTGGTTTATACACCAAGCAGAACCTGCGTCGTCTATGCTCCAGCGGAATGATAGCAAGGTACTGGTTGCTGGGCGGCATGTGTGGGGCTGTCGATGTGAGGAAAAAAACATTCTGCCAACACCGGCAGATGCATGCATGTCACAATAAGGTTCTGAAACTTCAATCGATGCTGGAACGCCCAGACATCCTGCTGCGTTGTCATGTCTAAATATTTAAGACCTTCAGGATGTCAATTAAACATAGCCTTTTCTTTCTTTTTCGTTTTCCTAATAATGCTTGATGACTGATTGTTTGCGCTTGTTTCATTCCGTTGAGCACTGATGATCTTAGAGTTAAACAATCGACTGGAGCGCCTAGGTCTTAGTGTAGGGCTCCAGAGTCCAGACTGTGTTGCTTGTCTGTCCGACTACAGAATAGTCAGCAGTGTGGCCTTGCTCTGCCTTATTCTTGACTGCTACTCCTCCCAATTACCGAGTCATTCAGATTCAGACACGCTCGATCAGCACTACCACTCCAATGTCCCTGATGACACTGCACATTCCCAGCTTGCCGTTGCAGGTAGACATCGCCTGACACCCCCCCCCAACCCTACCCTACAACGATAGACATGGGTACGGAATTGTGAAACGAAATGGCTGCAAAGCTAAGTGACTGTTTTCCCTAACACTTGGACGCATGCCGTATCGTATCCTCAGAGGAAAGCAGAAGGAGACGATCACGCGTGCATTTTGGTCACACCAACTGGTGACAGGGAATGTACACTAGATTGCTCAAGAGTTACTCCTACTCGACTTCTTGGATCGCCACAGGCTCTCACCTAACGCTTTTCATGATACTTTCGCTGTTGTTCTTGGGCCAATCCGGAGCCGCTCTCCAGCTCACATCACATGTACGTGGAATGATGCTGTCTCAGGTCATGGCATACAGCTTTGTTGGTTTTATTTCTTCCATCCATGCCCAGGAAGCCTATGCTATCATTACCATAAGCAGCTAGTAGTATGAGTTATGAGTGACAGGTGACACACCTGCATGAAGATAAATATTACATCAAACAATATAACAATTCATACAAATCACCGGTGCTTGCTTAAAGATTCAGACTTCGAGTAGCTAGTATAGGACACTAGCTAGTAGTCAGCTCTCGATCGGTTGCAAAATAATAAAAAGGAGAGAGAGAAGACGCCCGGGGAGCACTGGGGGAAGCTGGAGGAATAAATAGACGAACGGTTGTTAGATGCAGGCTGCTCCTACTACCAATTTCTTACACGAGGGAGGCGTCTGCTGCTCTGCACCCTGTGCTTAGCCGTTTGGAGAGGGCAGTGTTGGCAGCTAGCAGCAACGATGATGCAGCAGGGGGATCAGACGATGGAGTGCAGCGGCAAGGAGCAGCAGATGCAGATCGTGTGCGTGCGGGGCGCGTCGACGGGCGGCGCCGTGGTCGGCGAGGAGGTGGGGGAGTGGGCGGAGGAGCAGTCGTCGCGGTCGGCGCTGTCGCTGTTCAAGGAGAAGGAGGAGGAGATCGAGCGCAAGAAGGTGGAGGTGCGGGACAAGGTGTTCTCCGTGCTGGGGCGGGTGGAGGAGGAGACCAAGCGCCTGGCGTTCATCCGCCAGGAGCTGGAGCTCATGGCCGACCCCACGCGCCGGGAGGTCGACGCCATCCGCAAGCGGATCGACAAGGTCAACAAGCAGCTCAAACCGCTCGCCAAGACATGCCTCAAAAAGGTACGTTAAAGACACTGGAATACAAGTATTTTTTTTTTCATTCGATTTCACTTTGATCAAATGGCTACTGGTCAAAGCAGATAGTAACACCGATCGTATATTTGTTCCCGAACATGCAGGAGAAGGAATACAAGATGTGCCTCGAGGCGTACAACGAGAAGAGCAACGAGAAAGCCACGCTGGTCAACAGGCTAATGGAGGTTGACTCAACTGCTCGATTCAATTCCTTTGCAATCCGCGCGCTATAGCTTTTGTTTGTTTTGAGAACCGTTTCAGTAGGCATATTTTTGTTTTGCGGAAAAGAAAAAGATAGCTGTTTCCAGCCAGCCCAATCCGAAGGATAGAATTGGTTGGGCCATTTCCATATTATTACTTTGGTCCTCTAAAACAACAACAACAATTTGTTTTTTTGGCAGCTCGTAAGCGAGAGCGAGAGGCTGCGGATGAAGAAGCTCGAAGAGCTCAACAAGACGATAGAGTCCCTCTATTAGATCCGCTCTCATGGAAGAAGAAGAAGAAGAAGAAGAAGAAGAAGAAGAAGAAGAAGAAGAAGAAGAAGAAGAAGACGACGACGATGGTAAGGTAGTCGTGGTATTCTGGCCCACAGGAGGAACATGCAATTTTTTTTGCGACGTGCTTGATAACTGGATTTGTGTATTTTTACACGTGATTTGTAACCGATGGTTCACTACCCTTGGCTTGTAATTGCTCTGTGGCGCTAGCCTCACAGTGCAAACGAACGTTCCTACAACAAAAGGTATTCTGTGAGCGGACACGATGTTTACCTATCATGATAGAGGAGGTGAAACTTAAAAGAACTGCTCCGGTATTAGGAATCTCGTTGCTATCGACATTTTTGGTCTTGCAGTTTTATATGTGACCACTACTTTTCCAAACTAGATTTGAAAGTCGCTTCGCCGTCTAAAAGACAAGATTTTTCATTTGTAGGGAAGAACAAATTGTATGGTTTCAGCTATGTTAGCTTATCGCGAATGGCAACATAGGAAAACACGTATTTTCCAATTGGAACAAAATAATAAGATCATAAAAGACAAGGTAGAACTAAAAGAGCACATAACCTCGTGCTACCAAATTTTCTTGGGCACACATGAGGAAAATAAATATTCTATAATAGAGAGTAGAGTTGATGACATTACTCAAAGTTTATGAGGCGGAGAATGATATCCTCACGGCAACATTCAGAGGCTATCTTTAAAATGGAACACAAGGGCACATTAAGAACTACCATTTTTTCTCTCTAAACTTTGGTATTTTAGCATTACTACCAATGTGTCAAGAGGCTATAAGAATCTAACACTACAGACCCATTTATCTTTTAATTGTGAGATAAAGATCTTTACAAAGGTCATAATAAGTGCTAAGTGGGAGTGAGATTAGTACCACATGGTACACTCATTCGGAAGGTGCTCAACTTAAATAGGAAGCTAGTTAGTGCTCCTATAGACAAGTTGAGAAGGAGAGTTGGGGGACCACATGCGTGCACCGTCATGCCCTAGCTGTGCCTTGCTCTTGGCTAGACATGATGTGTTTGGGCCAGGCAACGGTCAGCAAGGGGGCACAACGGTTAAATGGGTGGATGCAGAATGGCAGATGTGTAAAACTGCATGAGCCTGTCACTGCAGCAGATCAAGTGTGAGGTTACCGTAGCGAAGATGACAGCATCTCCGTCCACGTCTACATTGAATCTATAAAGCATGTCTACTTCCTGTGCAGTTCTACAAAGCACAAAAATCTCTCCACAAACAGGATCTTCAACGATTCTTGTCAAATTTTGTGGTCCGAGAAGGTGACGAACAGCGGCTTCAACAATCAACCATCGGTCCTGGTGAATGCTCCATTCCCAAGTAGCAAAAAAATCATCTGGGGTCCTAGTGCCACCTCTAGCCGCCAAAAGACAAGGTTGCTCACATTGAAATGGCTTCTTTTTACAAAGTAAGACATCTGTTGCAATGAAGAAATTCCTAAAATGAACAAAACTGATACCAAACCTAAAACCAATTGCAATCAAATGCAAACAGGGGGCGTGATCGAATCCATCTAACCTTCACGGGGCGTTGTCCACGATGACAATGCAAGGTGCACAAGGCAGGGCAAGTACGCAAACATCATCTGGGGTCTTGGTGCCACCCCTAGCCGCCAAAAGATAAGGTTGCTCGCATTGAAATGGCTTCTTCTTCCGAAGTAAGACATCTGTTGCAATGAAGAAATTCCTAATATGAACAAAACTGATACCGAACCTAAAACCAATTGCAACCAAATGCAAATAGGGTGGGTGACCGAATCCATCTAACCTTCATGGGGTGTTGTCCACGACAACAATGCAAGGTGCACGAGGCAGGGCAAGTACAGGCAGGTGGGGAGAATGAAGATGAAGCAACAGGTGGGGAGAACTAATCGCTTCGTATTGGGTTTTTTTAGTTGGTCAAACCGTCGCCAAGGTATCGATAGGGGCCAAGGGGAGCGGTTCTAGGTTTGTTGCCAAACGGAGGGGTCTAGATTGATCAGCAGTGAGAACGGATGGTACATGATAAGTTAAACAATATCCGTATTAAGTCGACCATTGCCACGCTAATCCAACACTATAATATAGCTATTGTCACTGGTTGGACTACTATTAGATTCTCCTGGAAACAACCGCAACCGTACATGATAGTGTTGACGGTAGTTAACAACCATTATAAATCGTCAATTAAACATGGATAAGGGCATAAATGTAATCACCAATGAAGGTTTAGGGGTTTAAACTAATAAATTTCACGAGTTTTGGTGAATCTGTGTTTTCAGCAAGGTTTATCCAGAAAACCGCCAAGGATGACCTAATCGTCAAAGCAAATTATGGAATTCCGCTGCGGTACCTATGTGGGAAGACTTTAGATGGGTTCAGAAGGCAAATCACCGAAGCGGGGCTCGACCCATTGCCATGTGGGGCCGGCCGGCCTGTAGGTGGGGTCGCCCAGCCCCTGTGGGCCCCACTTGTTAGCCTGCTTCGTATGTCGGTTCCCCACCGCCTTTGAGGATGCATCTAAGCCGTTGCTTAAGTTGGTTTGATCCAAGGGCTCACATTGGACCCTTAGGGCTATATATACCAGCCCCTGCCCCCCTCCCTCAGAGAGATCCTGAAACCCTAATTCATATTCTCCTCATGAGGATCAGAGCTAGCTATCAAGAGAAGATTAGACCTCCATAGGATCTAGTCTTTAGAAATAGAGAGATGGAGAGTGAGGAAAGAGTTTGGAGGAGATGCCGGCCTATCGGTGCTCTCTCTACGGCTTGTACCTTGGCGGAAGTCAACCTTGCGTCTGAGATTTCTCTGGTAATCAACTTCTGATTTAAGTAAGTAACATGTTTATGTTGTTCTTCTGGTTTGCGAGTCTCTTTTGAGTGCTTTAATCTATTGGCCTTAGGTTAAAGTATTATTCATAGTGTAAGCATGGTGCTTAGACTCGGGTAACTCATGGATGTACCTTACATTTTGGATCAGTGGTACCTCACAAGGGTGACTCTTATAGCCTAATTGAATCCTCTGTAGTCCACCTCCCGGTTGTAGGACTAGCAGGATTTAGTTATTATAGGAAACATACTCTGTCTGTGTTTCCCTTAGTAATATCCCTAGTCGAACAATAGAAGACATAGCTTATCGAGATTAGAACTAGAAGATCTTAGCGATCTCCTCTACACTCCCGACTTTCTCAAGTCTTGTTGCTACTCCGGGTTAAGTTGGACCATAGTTAACGTCACACGTTTCCCTATGGATACGATACTTGAATACCTCCGGGTGAAAGCTACACTGGTATCCATACGCTTGCGGATTTATCTGTGTGCGTTAAAATATACCAACAACCTTTCTGGCGCCGTTGCCGGGGAAACAATTGCTGAATTAACTACAAACCTAGGTTAACCTTGTATCATACTCTTTTATCTTTTTATTCCTTCATTCTTTTCTTTTCTTTTCTATTATGAATTCCACTCCTATCTATCAATACACTAAACCCACGAGCACGAGCTTTGGGCCACCTAAGTCTGTAGAGCCTATCCTAACACCTGGTTATGAGCTATGCCTGTGTTTAATAAAACTAATTTGGGATCAATCCTTCTCAGGAGAAGGCGATGAAAACCCATACTCACACCTACGAGAGTTTGAGCAGACCTATGTATGCTTGCGTATCGCTAGCATGTCTGACAAGACCTTAAGATGGAAGTTGTTTTCGTTCTCTTTGACGGGAAGAGCTAAACATTGGTATAGTCAAACCGTAGGAAGTATGCAAGGAGATTGGGAAACGTTATGTTCTAAATTTTGTTTATGTTTCTTTCCCATCTCTAAAGTGATTAGCCTTTGAAAAAAGGTTCTAAATTTTAGACAACTAGAAGAAGAATCTCTTAGTACATCGTGGGATCGTTTTAATGAACTCATCTTCACTGGCCCAGACCTTGCCATTCAAGACCCTGTACTTCTTCAATATTTTTACATGGATCTTAGCAAGGATTCTAGGGAATCCCTTGATGCAGCCTCTAGAGGAGCTTTTCTTCATTTGTCTGCTAGTGAAGCAAGGTATATGCTTAATAGAATTAGTGGAATCACTCCCTGTACTAGCATTCATAATGAACTCCTCAAGAAAGAGAATGAATCACCTCCCGAACAAGAAGAGAAAGTTTTGATAGCCAAATCACAACCATTCCAATCCTAGGATTTAGCTGTCAATCCCGAACTATCAATACTCCAAAATCCCCCGAGAGAATAAGGAATTCTACCTTTAGAAATCCCTATTGAAATTAAGGATGACCTTCTTGGTGCTGATTTTGGGAGAACATTAAATTCTTATCTTCATAAGAGACCTTCGAGCGAATATAATTCAAATCCTCTCAAGAAGGGATCTCTTAAGAAACGTCCTTATTCCCATATGGGACATTAGGAAGAATTCAAGGATGGCATGTCTAGTGATGCCATAGAAGGAGAGCCAAGCTATTTAGAAGCCAATCCTATCTTCTCCCCTTCTACGCCCACATTAGATCTCTCATCTAAACCCATATTTCAACCCATCCTTGACCCCGATGATCCCTCTTATGCTCTTTCTCCTCAGTCTCATGATGACCCTAGAAATCCACTAAGATAACCAAAGCATAGGAATCATGAAGGCCACAAGGAAGACAATTGGTCTTTCCAATGTTGCCGCACACGAGATCCTCAACCTCCTTATACTTTCTATTCATAAAGACTTTGAAGGGGTGGTTGTAGATGCATATGTTTATCATAAATATTCCAAATCTCATAGGCATAAATCTTGAGATAGATACCCAAAGGTTGGTGTTGGAGGGGAAACCACTTCACTAATTAGAAACGCAATTCGAAGGTATCCCAAGGACAAGCTTCTGTCCTAAAACAAGCACTTTCGGGAGATAACATGAGCTTTTACCCTTTTTGCTGTGATGCCCTTGTGAAATAAGCATAGAAACATAATTGTGAAAATATTCC